CAAAAAAATGGAAAAAAAAAAATCAAGAAATAAGAATCCAAATTATCATCAGGAACAATCATAGTCACATCTACAGCAGTTCATCAGGTTGTTTTTCTCCAGAGTCTTAGTATTTATAAAGAGCCTTTTATATCACAACAGCAAAAAAGCAAGAGTTGTGGGTTTGGCCTTTTTTATTTATATAACTATTTCAATCATTCTGAGGTGGGTTATATTTATTTTGGGAGTTTGGGTGATCGAACAGAGTGAAAATTAAGATCACTGTCAGCTTCGTTGTCAGTGTATTTATAGATGGAACTAATACCTAATGAGAAGGTACACCAAAATCGGAGCACATTGTTAAAAGTGTGTTACCGCTTTAACTTCTTCCCTAAATCTACAAAGATATTTAAAAAGCAGCACTGAAGAAAAGTAAAACTGAAGTTTGCCGGAAGAGACATAAGCATCTTGGTTTAAAGGAGAAGAAAACTGATTCTTCTTGGAAGGTCTTTCTGGCTATTTCTGGAGCTAATCCCTTTTCCAGTTGCACTTATTGCTGTTACTGCTGAAAGGACAGAAGCAGAGTGCAGTGTGAAATTCCTGTAGCTAATCACATATTACGTGAGTTTGGGGAATTCCACAGTACACTTCGCGTTATTTGCGCAAGAGATGAGAATGTGGAAGATCTCGTCACCCGAGTAACTGCAGGCTGGTCTGGTAACACAGCTTCCATCCCAGCATAGCCTACCTTTGGTCACACTGTTTTATGGAGGTGAAAGGAATGGGGCAAGATGAACCAAGTTTTTGTAATCTTTTTCCTTTTTCAATCTGAACATTCTTTGTCGTGCCTTGCAGCACAGCTTTTATGTTCCTCCAGCTCCAGGTTTGACAGTACTCTGAGAAGTGGTGTTTGGTAAAGCTGAACGATGCACTTCATACTTAGTTTTAGTAAGAGAAGATAATCGGACCATAGGCCTAGATCAGATGATGCTAAAATTGGAGAATTGAGGAAATCCTATGACTGGAACAGGGGAAATGGTCAGAAGAATTTTTTTCCTCCATCTACATTTTGGATATTGACAACAGCAAAATTAAAACAGCTAGAGAAAGCAGGCAAAAGAAATGGGTGAAAATCAGAACAAAGGCAGTTGAGTCAAGGAGGGGTTAGAATATGGAAATGAAAAGCAGAAGCTGAACTAGTGAAAGGCTACAGTTGGAAGACATGAACTTTAAAGCTGCACAGACTGATGTTACTTCCTTGTATTTCTATTTTTATTTTTTTTTTAAATGAAATGACACCTTGTTTTCCAACAAACTTTAAATATTTAAAATACTTTATATAGGTGTGTGATTAAGTGTTTCAGTGTAACACATTGAAAGAATGCCTAATAAATACCAGTTTGGTTGCAGGCCACCTATAACTTCTGTATTATCATTCTCATCCTTTTATATGTTCTCTAGGGCTCTGTTGACTCCTGTGCCATTAAAAACATTGTCAAAACTTCACATTTACTGACCTGAGGTACAGAGATAGGTAATGCTTCTAGGGTTTGATATTAGGAAAAAAAAAGTTTAAAAACTCCCAAACAACGAACACCAAAATACCAAACCTTGGTCTGATTTGAAATCCAGCCAGCAGGCAGAGAACAGAGAACTAATGACACTAATTTGTAGAGTCATTTTTGGAGGACAGACATGTGAAAAGTATTGTGTCCAGCCAGAGGATCTAAGTCCATGCTTCCCTGCTTACTCCATCAGGCAATACAGTGTACTACTGCTTTAAACTAAGAATGGGAATGTGTCTTTGAGGCCACTGTATAGTTCTAAAGTGTGAGAAAACACAACTCATTGTGGTAGAAGATATTTTTTTTTTTTAATACCAAAAAAAGGGTGCTTAACCTGCCAACACCTACCACCACAAAAAAACCCAAAACAAAACAAAAAAAACCCCAAACATAAAACCCAACAAAACCTTCAGAGTAAATAGCTGCTCCAAATAATATTGAAATCCTACTGGACACATTTGGACCATCTCTTCCCTAACATGCATTTCTGTTTCCTTTCAGAGGTGGCTGAGAAATGAGTTAGATTTGCTGTGTTTCTGCTGAGCTTCTGCAGCTCAGGCAGCTGAGGTGCTCTCCACAGGGATGGTCGCCCACAGAGGCACACAAGCAGTATTGCACCTTCTGCAGCAGAGGAGAGAGCTGCTGGGAGGGGAGCAGAGAGATCACCCACCCAACTGAACAGTGAGAATCTTCTTGCTTCAGAGAAGGAACTTTCAATTGCCTGACTCTACAAAAGCAAGCCAAACATACACACAGTTCTCAACTCTGTCCAAGCAACAACTACCTGAGAATAAAGACAAAAAATAAGCCTGACCTCTGCCTACTGCATTTATCCATAGCTGGGTGTGCCTCAGAGCTGTCAATCCAGACGCTAAAAACAAATGGGAGTCAGAACTTCTGGCTGTGCTCTCTTCTGCTGCTAGCTGTCTTTCAGTTTTATGAGGAAGAAAATTAAGTTTCTGCTGGGTGTTACACAGTTTGCGCTCAGAAATGGCTGAGAAAAGAATTAGCCAAGTCACCCGATGTTTGTCCTTGGTTTAACCATGGATCAGTGTTTGTGTTCCTTGTCTGTACTGTTAATGACCTGATGCCAAGCTACAGGTTTATTCACCAGCCTCTATTTTCACAGGCAGAAATGTTTGGCAAAATATCCTTGTCATTTCTTTGTCAACATTATTATCAGAAATTACAGATGCCATAGAAATGAAGTTTCTTTAACATTTTTCTTAGAAGCATCTGGAGTTGTTAAAGAACAACTGAACATTTTGAGGGTTATGTTCTTAGCCAAAGAGGGAGTTTCTCACACCAAGCATTACTGTAACATACTCCTGGTCATCACCACTGTGCCAAGAGGTCTAGTCGCTGCATTAACCACACAGATATCTTAATGAAAGAGGAGGTTTTAACGTGGCCATGTCCCGTTCTGGAGTAGTGATGATGAGCATAGTTGCAGTGGTAGGACAGCCAGCATAGACAGGGCTTGTACTGAGGTACTTGTCTCACATCCAAGCTGAACGTGCCTCCTTTATGAAAATGACCACTTAGAGATTCTCAATCTATGTTTCTTTTGCACGTAAGAGAGAGAATGTGTTATGTGACATTCCACCCAAACACAGTGTTGTCTTCCCAGCTGTAGGTCTGGCCAAGTGTGCACACTGGTACCATCCTCATGGCATCAAATCTGACCTTTGACTCTTACTCAGGCAGTTAAGCTGAAAGTGGGTTTTGGCTAACAGGTGTTTCAGAGAATGACACTTTAATCTTTAAATATTCACTATTTTATTCTACTGTGCAGATGGTCCACAGAGCATGTTTTAGAGCCAAAGCAGCAATACCCTGCCTGTATGGAGTTTCACAGGGATCTTGTCTTCCACAGGGTTAATAGTCTGGAGTCTCTTACAAAGCAGTTTATCAGCTAGCTGGCCTTTCAGATAAATTGGATCTAAATTCAGAGTTTAGAATTCTGAATCTAAAATTCTAAATTCTGAATCTAAATCAGAGTTAAAACTTTGTGTGAAACGCTAAGTTTAGTGGCAACTTGGAACGAACAGGAGGGGAGACAGAGTGTGCAGTTATACCTCAAAGAGTGCTATGATGCAAACGTTGGGAAGCGCTGTGATCAGTCACTTCTGCTTTCAGTCAGACTGCATTTCTTGGGCTGAAACAGTCAGACTTTGACCCCAAAGCTACAGGCACATGCAATTTAAAGGAGGGGGAAGGAGGCTCCTCATCGCTTTGGCATAGAAAGGGAGAAGCTTGCTCCCTGCAGAGCTGTGCCCTGGGTACAGTATCCATGCCTCCTCCTGCACCAGGGTTTGTGCTGTGTCTATAAAACTATTGTTAGTATCTGTCACAGGATTGGCACTCCAGACTTTTACAGCTGTGACTCTTTATTGTGTTCAGGATCACTTCTGAGATCCTTTTCTACTGAAAGAAACCAGGTATTTCTATTGTGAATCACTTGAGATGGAAATGGAGCCATAAACAACATTTTGTGATCTCCTTTGCAGGTTTTTTTCCTGTGTATTCCTTGTGGAATTTTTCATATAAAAAATTAAAACAAATTAGTTTTAACTGAAGTTAAAGCAGGCATTTAGATCTTTTCCTACATTGCTCAGACAACATATGGCTGAGCGGCAAAAATGACAAGATTTCCTAAATTGTAGCTTCAAATTCTGTCCATTCATTTAAATCCTTCCTCTGTTCCTTCTTCCAAAAAGGTTATGTTTCAAATGAAATTTTTAAGCTTAGGCAAATGCATTTAATTGCCAATCTTAGCAGTGCAGATGAACAGAGTTGTAGGAAATACACAGTTTGGGAGGAGTTTTAAGTGTGGCCTTTTTGCCCCAAAAGAGGAAGCGTGCCAAAGTGTGTAGATATGTCAGGAAGTACAGATTCTGAAAATAGACAAAGGATCCTGCATACCCTCCTGAATTGCTTTCACCTTATCAGCATAGACCTGGGTAACGTGTTGCTCATGCAAGTAGAATTTGCAGGGGTTTTTAGATTCAGCAAGCTGTCAGCTGTTTGTACACAACTTTCTAGTTTACAAAAAAATTACATGTGTATATTTAAAATCATTTCCTGAGCACGCTGAAAGGAGAGTGCTGAAAAGGGCATAGTTCTACGTAACCTGTGCGTGCCTGTGAAAAGGATGGTAACTCAGAATTGTTGCTCATGCAAGTAGAATTTGCAGGGGTTTTTAGATTCAGCAAGCTGTCAGCTGTTTGTACACAACTTTCTAGTTTACAAAAAAATTACATGTGTATATTTAAAATCATTTCCTGAGCACGCTGAAAGGAGAGTGCTGAAAAGGGCATAGTTCTACGTAACCTGTGCGTGCCTGTGAAAAGGATGGTAACTCAGAATTGTAGCAGTGTTATTTTTCCCTAGCTCAGCAGAACCTGTCAGTTAAGAGCTGAGCAAATGATGCTTTAACCCCTCGTGTCTTCCCAGGTGGTATCATGACAACCTTACCCGGCATGCAGCAGAAGCACTGCTGCTTTCCAACGGGCAGGATGGAAGCTATCTCTTGAGGAAGAGCAATGAAAAGGAAGACTTGTACTCCCTCTCTGTAAGGTACAGTATGGACAGAAATGAATTTGTCTAATGCCACACAGCTAGCAGTTCTAAAATTTTTGCTTACTCCCATGTTTGCTTGCTTGTCTCATGCATTGAGATGACCTGCAGACTTTTTCCTAGGTCTCAAGCTATTTTAATATATATTCCCAATGGTCGTAATCCTGCTTTTTAATGGCATTTTGTTAGAAGAAAAAAAGTATTTGGATTTGGTTTGAAAACTGCTCTTGTTTTTCCAAACTATGAATTAATCTTACTGGCAAGAAATATCATTCCATGGATTTGCTGTAGATTTTTGGTCTGCATGATGAAAATCTGTATGGCAGTTACAAGAGTTTAGGAAACAGCTGATGGGAGCATAAAAGTGTTATGATGAGGATAGTAGTAAATATACTGGTTAGTAAGTGCTGACTTAACCAATTTCTGGATCACTGTATAGGAACTGTCATCTATGAGGGGCATTCCAGTGTTTGATTGGATGGTTTTACTCCTCCATTCTGGGCAAAGACTCAGTCTTAGCCAGCAGTGCACGACTGATTTGAACAGTATTTCACAAGTGACAGATGTCAGGCCTTTGAAGTCATCAGAATTATGATTCACATCAGTTTGGGACACAGCCAATACAGAGGACAGGTAGCCTGGCCTGGGTACTTCAGCTCTGAATCACATTGAAAGAATCTCCCAAGAAGCAGAGAAGCCCCAATATTTTAGAGAGGTGACATGAAAGACATTAGACATGCAAGGTAGTCCCCACATGCCAGCTGAGTGGAGTTAACCAACTCTAACTCCATCCCTAGCCTTTGGCAGCTGCATGATGTATTAAGCCTCTACAGTGAAATTTTGAGCTAGTGGATTCAAGCTAACTTCTGCCTCATAGTAATCCTCTGAACAACTAGTGACCATAGCTCAGCTGAATCACAGTAACTTTTTAAGGCAAGGTCACACTAATTAGTCACAGCCCTAATAGACAGGACCACAGCACATGCCCTTGAAATTGTGACTCTGCATATCAGTACCAGGTGGTGTTGCAATTTGGAAGCGTAGTTACTTGGAAACTGAGGAAGGTGCAATTTGCACCCTGTTCCCCAGAGGTCTAAAATATGAATTGCCTCACCCAGCTCTGACAACACCCTGAAGCAATCATGCCTATACCTACACTGATGAAATTATTACTGCTATAGACAGACATGTATACAAGGAGCTTGGGGGGGTGCCCAACAGGTCTGGAGATGAGGTTACAAAATGAGTATGCAGAGTAGCAATGACCGAATTGAGTGCAACTCCTTGGAAAAATAGTAGCATTTATAAGTAAAAGCTTGCCTAAAAAAAAAAAAAGGTAATTTAAGTGAATCATTGACTTTCTGGTTAATTTTTACTTTAGAATGTAACTAAACATTATTTGAAGTAATTAATTCACAATATTTTTTAGAAACTATATATATTGAAGGTAGTTTTCAAGAGCACTCAGGAAACAACTTACTGTAGCAAAATGAAATTTAAATGGCTGTTCTTTTAATAGGAAACAAAATCTAAAGTGTTAGTTAATAAAAATAAATTTGCTGCTTTAACAAATTCTAGTCTTAGAAGACCTAGAAGAGTCAACCCTGGGCCAATTTCAATCTCTTGTTCAGCTCTCCATGTATGAACAAGAGTTATTCACTGCATTAGCATGTGAACTGAATATCCCAGTCTAGAGTTTGATCTTGTATTCTGTTAAAATGTTTTTTTCGGTGGCAGAGCTCCCTTGAAATACTGATTTTTATTTTTAAATGCTTTAAAATTTTTCTATTATTTGCTTAAGTTTCCCTTTCCACTTTTCTTGACTAATATTAAAACTTAAGTTTAGAGCAAGTCATTCAATTTTGTTCTGAAACAGTTTTGTAGAAAGGCTAATTTTAGAAATTATAGCTGTCAATTTCTTTCTCTCCCAAAACACCTTCTATAGCTTTTACTTCACTTTCTGCCTCATGAGGAACTTCAGCCATTAGTATAGTTTGTTTTAAAAGGAAACAGGGCTTAGGCATCCCACAGGGTTTTTACTGACAGCTCTAAGAAGAGTGATCACATACTGCCTGAAGTCCTTCCCTCAGCAAAATTAGCCAACTTTAAAAGAAAGCTGGAAATGGAGTGGCAGTTGCTCTCATTGCAACCTGGTATTTCTTGTGAAATGAGAAGATGAGTGCCTTGTCGTGGCAGCAGAGGCACAGCAGCTCTTGGCAGACGCGGCTCCCCCATGTCGCGCCGTGTCAGCGCGGCCGCGCTCTGCAACGTCATAAGCACTCTTCAAAGTTAAATATTGCTGAAACAGCTGTATGAAATTTTTATCTCCTCTGGAAGTAGCAATAAGCAGTGGAAAAGATGTTATTAATCCCTTTCTTTCACCATATTTTCAGTATATTTGCTACTTATATTTTTCCTGAGACAAAGCTTTTCTCTGGCCTATTTTGTATGCTAGTAACATTAACAGGAAACTTTTTCACAGGAGAGATGCTTGTACTGAGTGCTTCACTGACTTCTGAAGTCAAAATAATTGCCCATCCAGGAAGTGAGGCCTTGCACACTTCTCTAAATGCAGACAGCTTTCATAAATGAGTACTGCTGCTTCCTTGACAAAGGATCCTGGTTCATGTTTGACACTGCCCACCATAGAGGAACCATTTGCCTGAGGACAGAGACAAAGACGAGAAATTCTAAAGCCTTAGGTATCTGAAGTTAGGTTATTAAATCCTTGTTTGGGTGTAAAAACGAGGCAGCCTATTTTTGAAAGAGAAATAGAAGACATTTTCAATGAGATTGGGATCTTACCTGGAAAGCTATAGCAAGTAATACAGGTATGCTTTCAAGACTAAAGCTCAGTAAGTGAAAGGGTATCATACTGTTTAGACAGAAGGCTGGACACCTCATTATAGGTCTTTTTACTGATTACTGCAAGAGTTAATTTAACTTGGCCTTCCTAGGCTTTCATGATCTCTTATCTGTAAAGCAGCAATTATATTTTTCTTAATGAACATGAGTCTCAGATGTGTTGATTGGTATTGAGGGACAGCAATGGTAGCAGCAGTACTGCTAGGACAGTGATTTTCTGCCTGTGATCTGGGCCGGATTTCCTGTAGTGGAAGCTGCTGTCTGAGGGTTGTACATGCTAAAAGCCTTTGGCTTCTATGCCTTGACAAATTTTCCTTTTTCATTTTAGGGGAAAAGATTCTGTGAAACACTTCCACATTGAACATACAGGAACTTCATTCAAATTTGGATTTAATGAATTTTCTAGCTTGAAGGAATTAGTCATGCATTTTGCAAATCAGCCTTTAATTGGAAGCGAAACAGGTAAGGAGAGATGTGTTTGCATGGACACGTTTGTAGTCATGCTTCACACAGATCCGAGTAAAAGGAGCTTCCAATGTGTTATCAGGTAGATCTATTGCTGAAGTGTTCTTCTGCAGAAATTCACATTTGAATTAACCTCAAGTGTCCAAGATGCTCTTCTTCAAAAACACTTTCAAGTACTCTGTGAAGACCAACTACATGTAAGCTTACTGGGTTTTTGCTAACCAGGGACATGAGCTCCTTTTGATTTCTCATGGAGAGAAGGAAGCATTTCAAAATACTCATGTACTGGGAAGAACATAATCCTCTCAAAAAGGGCAAAACCAAAGCAGGGCGTTTAGAAAGCTCATTGTTTAGCTCCACTGTTCTCCATCCAAGGAAGCAGTCTATGGTGAAAAAAGTTCCTCTTTCCTGTAAGGCATGTTCCCTGTATTACCTCTCCCTTCCTGTCTACAGTGGGTCAGCCTGCTGGTGCTGTCTGCCATCATGGTCATTTGTCTTGTTTTTAAGACAAAAGTGAAAAGCACAAGCTTCTTTAGCAGCCAATGTGCTACCTGAATTAAGAGTCAAAAGATTAAACACGATTGCTACGAGTGAGTTGAACACCACCAGACCAGAATCCCTGGAGAGCCAGATGCATATTGTCATGATAATGGCAGTTTTAGTTTTAGCTTCAGGAATAAAAGTTGAAGATGTGTCAGTACAAGCCAGTGCCAAAACACATTAGCATCCTGTGTAGGAAGTGTATGTAAGTAACTCAGAGTAGTACTAGTTATATATGCAAGTGATGGGTTAAATATTTGGCCCATGCAATAGCTGTGGTATGACACACGAAATACACACCAGTGCTCTTGTAGCACAAGCATTAAGTTCAAAGGTTGCTTTGCAAAATTTTTGTCCCCCAGTAAAAACAGTGGTAGACTCAATATGGACGGCACTTGTATCTTTCAAAGCTTTCTCTTTTTAAGTTGCTTTATGAGTGTTTCATACACGAAGTTCCTACATGTATCTTTTGTGCCAGTAAGCTATTTTTCCTGTGAAGTCAGGAGCGCACCACAGGCCTGACACTGTAAAGATTCCAATTGAATGGGGAAGTACATACATTTTTGTATGCCCTTTACTGCACGTGTTACATACATCAGTAATCAAAGCATTGGTGTTGTGTGATCTCTGTGGACAGGATCAACACCGTTGAATGATGGACTCGCTTGTCACCTTAGCGCTCCCCAGTCAGATTCTGGTGGCTCTCTGAAACCTCTTTTAAGTTGCATGTGCTACAGAATAAGAAAAGCCATTCGAACACCACATCAAGAAACCTTCCATGGTACCTTACCATGGACAGCAGGAGGGAGGAAGGGATGGTTAGCACTCAGGCAATGTTCCTTCAGACACAGGTGTCAGAGGTCTCCTTGGTGGTAACAGATTTGTAGCAAAAAGGGTGTAGGGGCTTATCAGAGCCCACTCTAAGCCAAGTGTCAGCGTGGCAGAACCACCAGCCCAACAGAGTGTCACACAACAGGCTGTCAGAAGAGCTGGCAACAGAGTCTGGTTTCTTATGCCACGCTTCCTTTCAGTGAAAAGCAGCAAATGACCTTTGGCTCAGGCATTAGTAGAAAGTAGATGGACCATATTTTCTTATTCCTTGTTAGACAATTTTCTGTAGAAACACTGAGATCAGGAATGAGTAAAGCAAGATAGCATGGTAGCAGTTTTCATGGACAGGATGGTGTAAGACAGAGACCCATGAGACAGATTTTCTGAAGGTTCCCACTCATCTTCCACCATCTAGGTTTAGCCTCACTGGAGCTAGCTGTGTGCCTAAAGAGGCACACCAGACTCCCTTTGATCAGTACTTGAACACACAGGCCTGCTCCCCTGCAAACCAGTCCATGGAGCACAGTGGTTCTTTCATACTGGGACAGCTGCAGGTTTGAGCTTCGAGCCCAACAGACCTTGTCTTACTACAACTCCATTTGCCACTCCAAAGTGCTGCACAGACTCACAGCTGTTTTTCTGCAGTGTAATACATACACTTCCTTCTGAACTACAGATAATGAAAAGGAAGTTGGGGCTACTGTGTTCTGTGAGCTGGTTTTCTGAACAGGCAAGCTGAATGTAGTCAGTAGCAAGGTTAAAGCAATATACCACCATATTTCTATATTTTAATCTTCATTCAAAATGACAAAGTCAAAAAGTTATCCTTACCTGTTTGCTTTGTTTATTAGTTTTTACTTAAGTTATTTTGAAAACTTACTAAAGCTTTTAAGTCATTACCTACACACAAAACCCAAAGTCACTTGAAGCTAACCTTTCCAACAACAGGACTCCTTTTCATTCTTCCTTAGAAACAGATATCATGCACAAACATGCAAGAAGAATCCTGCCAAAGTGCAGCTTTTACTGGTGATTCTGCAGCTTTGCTAGATGATTCTATGCAAGTATCTTTTGTGGAGAAAAAAAACATGGAAAACTGACTAGCAAACAGACATTGCATGAAATGTTAAACTAGTCTTCCTGGTTCTGCAGCAGGGCTCTTTATCCATGGTGTATAGATGATAGTACTTTTGATTCTGTCCAACAGCTGAAGGGTAGTTTCTGTAGACTGGTGATGGGCATGTTCTCAATTTTATTTTAAATGATAAAGCACTATTTTCCTGCAAGGCCAGAGAGAATTAAACTGATTTTGACTTTTCACCTACTGCAAGCTGAATATGTCACATTTGCATACACCCCCTGTGCCTGTGAACAGATTGCAGTTAGTTGCTTACTGCAAATACAATTTTTCCACTTCCCTTTGTAGCGCTCCCTATTACAAAATGTACTTTAAACTTTGTTTCACTTTTAAATTACTCAATCACCTGTAGCTTTCAAGTCCGTGCTCTTACCAGTTTTGGCATCCCTCCTCTTTAAGAGCTGACAATATCAGCATAAAATGCCAGTGGAGCAGCCTTTGGTATGCTGTGAGGTGGTTTTTAAAGAATGAGGTTAGCTGGTGTGGCAGTAACTATTTTAAGGAGGTTCTTCACTACTGTGAATAGTTTAATAGGCTCACTATTGAGAATGCATCTTTTCATGGAGAACATGCAATAAGCTTGAGCTTATTTGGAGAGCAAAGAATGGCTGTAATCAAAACGTTATGAACTGGGAAGAGCTGTGGCAAAACAGTGGAAGGGGAGGTGACGTGGGTTTAGTGTTGGGAAGCCTGTATCCCAAACTCTGACAGATGAAGTGACCTGCTCCGCAAGCAGCGGGCTGTGGCCAAAACCAGGATGGCTGTTACAGCCCCATATCTAGGCTAGTATCCTGCCTGCCCACCCAACCAGCCCCCTCTGCAGAAGGGAATTTAACGTGTCAAGTGATTGCTTGCAAGCACTAGTAGTTTTAAAGGTTTTTAAAAGGTGCCTTATTCTTACTGCTTTCACAGTTGCCTGTAAACAGGCGTGACAGTGTCTGTAGTCATGTCTTCAGGAATGCTGGGGAAATGTGGGTCACGTGTGTGAGGCAAAAACCTTTCATAGCTGTAACTATGAAATCCATGCTTCCGTTCGTTCTGCAGTACTCCCTGACTGGAAAGAAGGTTCAAGCAGGACAGGAGACATCTGCCTTTGAGTCCTGTTCTGTTGCTGTCTGATTTTTTCACCACTTACCGTGCACTGCAGAGGGCGTTTAGTTACCTACTGCTCAGAAGAAATACAGAGGGGTTTTGCTCTTGTTTTCAGAGATTAAGAACAAATTGACTCCCACTGCACAGGGATGAGGGAATAGACTTAGGCAAGGTCCAGGTGCTCTGGGTATTGAGGACTCTGGGCAACACAGCAGAGCCAAGGAAGTGACAGTAGTTTGCATGGGTGGATTTCTGTAGAAAATACGTTTCACAAAGCCTAAACTGTTCAGATGGTGCATGTTAGAAATATTTGTCTAGTTGTATCAGTATGGGAAAGTCATTTATAGCATCTAATTGTTTCTCACAAGGGTGTGGCTTGAGCCCTGCCCCCTTCCAGAAAACCCCTTTACAAGGAGTGTCACAGAGGTCTCGGAGAGGTTATTACCTTTTTAACTGTAGGAAAAGGTAACATTAACCATTCCACAAACAGGCAGCTACTGCCAGTTACTTTCTGAAACTCTTGCCAGATGACTGAACTCCTGCCCTTTTTCTGTCCAGGAACCTTGATTGTGTTGAAGCATCCCTACCCACGGGAAGTGGAAGAACCTTCCATCTACGAGTCTGTCCGAGTTCACACGGCGATGCAGACGGGAAGGACAGAGAGCGACCTTGTTCCAAACGCTCCCTCAGTAAGTTGTGTTCTGGTGGGAAGGGTGATTCTGGCCCGAGTTCAGGATGATTGCTGGCGTGAGCTATGGAATAGCACCAGTAATTCATCCCTTTATGGGTTTGTAAATACAGGAAGTATTTGTCGCCCAAGGCAAAACAAACGCAGGCTTGCTAAGCAGAGCCCCATGACAAATAAAGCCGTTTGCAAATGTTGTCACCGAGACCTTCAATGCTGTCACTGGGAAAATATTGTCTGTGGTTGACCTAGGTGAGTCTGATCCTCCAAACAAGGAATATATGAAAGGTTTTCATTCTCCAGTTATCTTCTGTTTAGAATGCCATCTTAGCAGTAACATTATCAGGAATTAAATTAAGGAAAAAAAGAAAACTAAAAAACCCCACACCACACAAAACAAACACAACTCTTCTCATATCTTTTTGACAACTCTGCTCAGGCTGTATGCAACAACGGTCTGCCAGGTTGCACAGGAGGCCCTTTTTTTTTTTGCCAGATATCCTTTACAGTCAGTGGCAAGTACTCCTGACAGACATGCTCATTATAACTTATGTTTGCAGTCTTCTTTGTTTGTTAGAATTATTTTGCTCAATTAGCAATATACTACTCATTTAGCCTCCTTCCTAACTGAGAGGAAGGAAAGAGCATCACTAAGCTGATTGAATATTTTTTTTAAAATGTCACTTTTTAAAGATGTGCAAGACAGGCAGGGACATTTGGAAAAGGAAGCATCAAACTGAAGCATGATACAACCAAGTTAACGGAAGTATCTATCTGATAGGTGCATTATTCAAAAGGTTGGTTTTTTTTTTTTTGCAATTTCACACTTGGATTTTATTATTTTAGAAACACCTTGTCTTAAAGCAGGAACTCAGCTTGCTGTATTATGGCACAGATTTAAACCCCAACTAGAGCAATATGACAGAAGAGCCTCCACCCTTCTACCCCTAGTAGTTTTGAGCACAGTAAAAAGCTGTGTCACATTAAAAGCTACACCTTACTGGTGTGAGAAACAAGAGAACATCTTCACATGGCTGTGGGCCACCTGCTCTAACATCTGTGACTCACTTGGACAGTAATTAGAGACTTTAAATCCCCAGTAACTCATGTCTATAAGTGAGACAGTTTGTTTCTCCAGAACAGTATTGCTCACAACAGAGAGGAAAGTATTTTAATTACATACTGTATTTTGAGAAAAAAGAGGAAGAGTTATATTAATACAGGTTAATGAAGTTGGTAGCCACTTCTGATGTGTCTGAAAGGAACTCTTCATGGCTGAGTTCCACTTCAACCTCTAAAGAAACTTGACTTCCACATACAACCAATAAAAAGGCAATACTTCTTCAAGAGCAAGTAGTGATTAACTTGGCAAGAATTTGATTTTTAGAGGTCTGAAGTCTCACAACTAGATCCCTACACAGTTTCAGTATCTGATAAGTCACAAGGTCCCAGCATCACTCATGATGGCAAAGAAACAGTCTGAAAAACAACTTTGCAATAAGCACATTGAATGTAACAAGTTTTTCCTCTCAAGCATGTGGCTGTTTGCGAGAAGAGAACACATAAGTAACGCAACACTTTCTCCCCCACTTGCATTGCAAGAGGGATTTCTGTGGATAAATCCACTGCCAGATAAACCCCAGATGCTTCTGGCTATAATTTGTACTGAGGCAACCATCTAACTTTAATAAATAAACTGTAACTGCAGCTATTTTGCTGCCTTTGGGTGAGAAGCTGCAGGCCAGAAGCTTGCTGAGGGAGACGTGGTCTAAGAAGCAGCCTTTGGAGGCAGCACAGGTCTGTACCTACTCTAGTGGTGGATCCAGCTGCATGAGGGGAGCTTGGGAGTGAGGACAGGGCAAGTGGCATGGGAGGTTTCCCTAAGAATAGGCTGCTCCTCCATCTTCTGGATGCAGGCAAAGAGGAGGAGGTGGGAAGTAGAAGCAGAGCTCAGTCTCTAACCCCGATCCCTATTCTTGTTATTTCACAGCTCGGTACAAAAGAAGGATATTTGATAAAACAAGGCAAAATAGTCAAGGTAAGGAAAACTGTTGCTCCTTGCTTCCACTCTGCAATCACCCACAGAAGCTAGAGGCAGTGCAGAGCTGAAATAGCTCCACCTGCATGCCCTTGCAGAGAGGAGCAATCTGCGTTTCGAGTAACAACAAAACAGAACAAGTAAACCAGAACAAGTCAACAGCTTTGAAGGTTTCTCCTTCCCAAGAACCATTAGACAAAATTCTCACAAGACTGTTACCATCCATTCTTACTCTTTCAGAATTGGAAGACAAGGTGGTTTACATTACATAGGAATGAACTGAAGTATTTCAAAGACCAAACAGTAAGTAGCAAACTCCACTTCTACTCTTTAAGCCTCCTCAGAGGCAGCTGCAGCCTCTGTGTACCTCTGGCTTCTCACACCTCTTTCACAGCCTCTCAAGCTAAAGCTTCCCATACTGTCAGAGGGCTCAGACCTTTCAAATAAAGTCAGTTTTGCTGATAACTTCAACAAGAGAATGTTAGCAAGTTTTACAGGTAAAAAACATTTACTGTGCTTTGTCAGTCTTACCTACTAGCTAGAAGTTGTTCACAGTACGTGCTTTTGTTGCCTTGTTCCAAGGATTTTAATGTACCAGCACAAGACAATTTTTTATCAGTAGCTTTGACACACAACTTAACAAGCAGCAGTGCTGTTAAAATATTTCTGCAAATACTAGTGGCATATTTTGCATTCCTTGATTTCACCCTTTTATTTCAAGTGGATGCACAGCGTACACAGAAAACCATTTATTTAAAGACATCTTCCTTCCTTCCTTCCTAGCACTCTGGCATAGACTAACCTGCTGCACCTGGGACAAACTGTGTGTCCTCATGGTGGCTGTTCCATTTCTATGTCAACCTGAGTGAAAATAAGAAAGACCTCTAGAGTTTCTCCACCTCTACAATACCTCCAGCTCAGGGTCCTTCAGAAACACAGCCAAACAGTTTACCTCTCTCAAGCCCCTTTTCAAGTATCCAACAGATTTTAACACAACAGCTGGCACAACTGCCCTCTGTCACCAAGCATCACCACTTATAAACAGTTACATATTTACAGAGCCTTCCATCAGTTTTCATTTCAATTCAAGCCAACGTGAATTAAGTTTCGCAGATAACATTTCAAAGGGCAGCACTCCGGATTTTTGAGTGGCATTTGTGACTTACCAGGTGCCGAGGTGTCTTTGTCAGGAGTCTTTGCTGCCTCCTCCTGGACAGCAGCTCCGGGGCCTCCTGGCACTCCCTTTGTTGCTGTGGGGTTGCAGATACCTGCAGGTGAGCGACTTGATGCTGGCCCTGGGATGACAGCCACTAGCACACGTGGCTTTCTTCTGGTACAGTGGGTAACTAACAGCCATACGCCTGAGGAAGGACCACAGGGACAGCTTGGGGTGTCTGAGCAGAGGGAAAGCTGTTCTACTTCAGCTGCCTCTTCTGAGAGGCTCAACAGTGTGAGACTGAAACAAATAAAAGAAGAACTCTCACATCCAGGGAGAATGAAGCTGTTAAGGGAAACAGGGCGCAGTTATACACAGTCTGCACTCCTGAGCCTGTCCCCAGAAACTTGGGTATGCTCACACAACCAGACCCAGCACCACATTAGCTTTGCTCCTACACATCTCCCTACCCAGCTTCATCCTTTTAAAGCTCTTGGGAATCAGTTAAATCTCCAACAGCTGGCTAGGCCAGAGATGACCTATAACCATCCCCTTGTCTCTCTAAACCTTAGCTGGAAGTGCTGCCACACCTGCTGCTGTGTCCGTTACATCACAACACAAGCCAAGCCCTCAGCTGTCAGCACCTAGCTCCAGCTTTCCTGCAGCAGAGAGCTCCTCTGTTGTTGCCCAGAATGGAACGGACCTGTTTTTTTATATTTGGCTCAGTTCATACCGCATCAGTGCTGATGTTACATTTGCTGGCTTGTGTTTGTCATGTTACAGTTGTTGTACCTACACCTGGGAAAACCTCGTGTGCCTGTAAAAGTCTAGATGCACTGAAGATGAACTGAACTAGCCTTACCTTTTGTTTTCATGTGTTCCCATTTTAAAACCATTTTATTTTCAAGGCCACAGAACCAATTCGGGCACTTGACTTGACTGAATGCTCAGCTGTGCAATTTGACTATTCCCAGGAAAGAGTCAATTGCTTCTGGTAAGTTAATGTGCTTCCTCCACCTTGCTGGGCACCTCAGACTAGCCAGGGAAGTTTGAAATGTAACCATGAGGTGCTTCTAAAAGCTCCCTTGCCAGCTGCAACCTTGCTCTTCCTCTAAGTCACGTGTCTGTTTCTGTCAGTGCTTTGTCAGCACGGCTTTGCCCAGTTGCTGCTGGCAAAAGGCTTTTTTTCTCGGCAAGGAGGAGGGATGTAGGCCTGTAGGCCTGTGTATAGTGGGTGTTTGTTCTCCTAATTCTGTAAGCATCTACAATCATCACCTAGGCCCATGGAACTTAGGTACTGTCCAGTTCCCCATTTGGACGTTGCTGTGTGGCATGCAGTAACCCCTTCTGTGCCCAAATGTGGGTCTTTTGTCCTTGCAGGCTTGGGGCAGCATCTCCCCGGGCTGTGAATGACCGTAAAACTTTCTTGGCTAGACTGAACAGTTGTCTGAACAACTGTGGGTGCACGCCAGCTGGGTGCAGTTTTAGGAAGAGCTACCAGTTGTTCTGGCAGTTTAAGAAATAGTTTTGTGTACTTACAGTTTGGTGTTCCCACTGAGGACATACTACCTGTGTGCAAAAACTGGAATAGAAGCTGACGAGTGGATTAAAATCCTGCGATGGAAGCTGGTACGTACACCTCAGGCAGCAGTGCCCTCGGTGCTGCCGCCAGAAACCCTCCAACATGGGCCAGTTTTCTGGGTCACAAGAGGGTGAACTTCTGGCTTCCAGGCCAACTAGAGTGGAACACACAGTTTTTGTATCCTGTAGCTGCCTGCAAACCCGCTTTGGCATTTTTGGGCTGCATTTTTGACATGCGGACTCATTAAGAGAAAGAAATGCCCTCCGCCTTTAAGGATGTCATTGTGCAGATGGTAAACAGTGTGGAGCATCCGCACAGACCGCATGCGCTGAGTCAGGAAGGAAGCAAGGAGGAGACAGTGTAAAGGCTTGGAAGCATTACTTCCTTCAAAATATCAGTATTTGGGTGGGCTGTCCTCGCCCTAACCCACACGCGTGCAGATGAGCGGTAACGGATTCTCTTTCTGTTCCAGTCACAAATACGGAAGCAACTGGAGCAGCGTAACACCACCCTCAGTGCCTAGCTGCAGCCCAGCGCTGCCGCTCCGCTGCCGGGAGGACGGTCCTGTGCTCCTCCATCCCCAGCCACGGGCACACGGGGGCCCCCGGAGCCACCACGCAGCCCTGCACCCCGCTCTGCTCCCAAAGGACCGTCCGGCTGAGCCCTCGGGCTGCTGCTGGGGCTACCAGGTCAGGGCATGGGTTTGGTGTGCGGGGCGCGCGCACACCCCGGCGATGCCCGCTGAGTCCTGACAGAAGTGGTTGCTGTTTAAAACTTCTGGGGTTATTCAGAGCACTCTCAATAATTTATTGCAAGCTCTGTCACAACTAACCATTAGCAGCGTGTTCTGTCACCTTGAGCCCATTATTTAAAACCAGTCCTTTCTGGAAACGTCGAGTATTTCTTTTGTATTACCTGCTGGGGTTATGAACCAAAAGAAAAATGACAGAGGTAATTACACTTTTGTACATAGTATCTGTTACAACAGAGATATAAAGAAGATATTTCAAAGCCCTTTTTCAGGATGATGGGTGTGTGACAGTTCTGTTCAAACCTGTTTTATATGGTTGAGACCTGTGCTAGTAGCCTTGAGTTGGGCTCCTTACGGTCCCTATTGAAAATGGGCTGGATTTTATGTTTTTTTCCTCACACAGAGAACTCAAATCATGTTTGTATTTTTTTTTCTCCAGAACTGTGTTTTTAGTCAAGCACAGCTTGCATTATCTTAAACCAAGAGCACCATGTACACTAAAAATAGGATTTTAAAAGAGTACATCTTTTACACAAACATAAATTTCCATCTGTATTTTGGAAGACTCACGTTTAACAGTGTTCTGGCTTGCTACAGAGTTGAGAAGGAGAAGCCAGCACTTGGTACTGTAGTCAAAATAGATGTTAAATTTTGGAAGCAAAGTTGACCACACTGGAGGCTGCCAAGACCAGCTTGGGCTGAACTCACGGTGGACCCAGCTGGAAGGCCCCTGAGCAACCCTGCTCCTCCTGGAGGGGTGGGGAAGGGTCGAGTTTCTGCAGAAAGAGTGGTTTTTTTTAGAGTGTGGGCAGAACTCTCCCACTGTGCAGACGCCGTGGCACAGGGCTGAGGTTGGTGCTCATTAGGTGCCTCTGCTGTGAGAAGATTGAAGGAGGGGAAAACATACCAGAAGAAAGAAAATCTAGGTTTGAACATAGGAATAGTATTTTATTTCAACTTGGAAATCAAAAATATTTGTGAATATTTTTATACAGACTGTTTTCTGAATAAAATGACATTATAAAACTACCAAAGGCCTTCTGTATTCCTGTACTGTACTGTTAAAGCTTTGTCTTCCTTTTTCTCCTTGAAGAGGTGGTTTAACAAATGGGCACCTCCCATCTAGTTAAAAACCTTTGATGAGCTATGTGAGAGGCCACATGAAGGGGAGGTGAGATGTGGCATCTCCGGTGGCACCACTGTCCTGTGAGAACAGCTCAGAAACGAAGCTTGACACATGCCCACAAAAGCAGCTCTCCCTTTGTCGTGTGAAGAGGCTGCGCTGCAGAACGTTGGACCCAAACTCGGCAGATGGTGACACAAACCGGAGACAGGGCAGGGAAGGGCGCTGGGCAGGCCCAGGCAGCGCTCGGGGGCGGAGCCGAGCAGATGCAGCGGCGGGAGCAGGCCCGGCTGGGACAACGGCGCTTCCTGCCAGCGCTGCGAAGAGCCGAGGGGCTCAGCTTCCACCTGCTTCTGTCCTTACCAGCAGCAGAAACTCACACCACGAGCTCAGTTTAAGTGACTGACAACTTGACTTTAAGTTGACTTATAACTTCTGGTCTCCAAGAGGGCTTTTGAGCCAGGAATTCCCAGCCCAACCATTTCCCCTCATCCCACCTGAAGGTGGGTGAAGGGGGTGGTGGCACTCACTGTGACCAGTGGTTTCAGCACTGGGAACCTACACTGTGGTCATCCCCAGGTGAATCTGGAAGCCTGCACCATGGTCATCCCCAGGGGAAGGTGGGAGGGAATGAAGAGGGAACAAATTGCAGGGGACCGATGCCCATGGAGGGAAAGCCATTCTGCATCTCTGTGCTGGCATGGGCCTCTCACCACTCTGCTGAGGAGACACACCGGCTACTTTGCAGCCTGAAAACTCCTGGATCTCACACATTTACAAACAATGGGGAGACCTGTTCTCTCCACAGAGAAGCTGATGTGCTGTACAGTACTATGGAGCAACACAAGAGCGGACCAGGCTCTGTAATTTAAAAATACTGCATTTTATTTATATTTATTTACTTAGGAAAACCTAAGGGTAAATAAGCTGAGCGTGTCACCAGTGATGAACCCACACAGAGACTATGAGACGTGAGATCTTCACAACCATATTATACAAAAACCCCATGAAGAAGTGAGACGTTGAGGTGCTTTTATCTGGGCATCAGGAAAACCCCTAAAGCAACAGCTTTCATAGAAACAGCTTTCTCCTCAGCGGAAGCAGGATGCACCTCGCATCCAGATTAGTCGCATTCCCTCACCAAAGTATCACCCACTTAAGGAAGCTGGATATTTATTGATTGTACTGACACATCACTGCTAGTCAGCTCGCTCTCACACCACTCCTTCAGCCACACCTCTGACAACGCCGCAGGGCCCATCGGCTCTCCAAGAGGCACGGCAGCTGCCCCGAGGTCTGTGGGTGCCCGTCGAGCCGAGAGCACCGTGCCCGTCTGGCTCAGCTGCCCGAGCTAAACTCCATGGGAGCTATGTCGGTGGTCTCTCCAGTACTGCACAATATAAGAAGCGTGGCCTAAAGTAACATCCACCTACAACACACTAGTAGATCGTTTCAGATTCAGTACTATGTACAATTTACTCTGACTTAGTATACTAAGGAGCAGTGGTATTTCTTCTGAGGCGTGTTATTTGACTGAGGATTATTGAATCTTTCTGTCCACTGGGCTGCAGAGGGATGCTGCGCTCTGGCTGTACCATCAAGTTAAGAAACTTCAACAACCTGCCTCAGTTCTTCAAACAGGGGTGTGAGCTCCTTCTCTAAACTTACAATCAGCCCTGGGAAGAGAGAAGAGACAGAACATTCCATCAAACTACGAAACTCAGAAGCCTCTCTCCAAATCCCGCAGCTCCCTCCCCTCCAATCCCACAGGTGGCATTTCCCAAACTCGAGGTGTTCCAGGTGAGCTGCTTGCTCTGCAGGAGAGGCATGGGCAGCACCCCAAGCAGCTGCCTGCAGCCCCCAGCACCAGTGGGGCACAGCTGTGCAGCACAGCTCTCTGCCCCCCACCTTTGTTACCCTGACAAAACCATAGCAAGAGCAGCTAATGTACCTTGAAACAAATTTGGGCAATTTATTTTCAATTATTTGAACACCTGAGCCTTAAAATACTGCAACATTTAAAATACATGTGAAGACATACCCGTGTTGGCATTGCTGCTAGCAATGAAGCTCACTACCAGGGGTAAGCGATTGAACTGCACCACCTGCAGGGAGAGAGAACTGGGGTCAGCCAGCACCCAACACACGCTGGACACCACAGCTCTGCCACGTAAACTCTTCCCCAAACAAGCAGCCTCCTCAGTTTAAAGGACAAGCAGGAGCACGAGCCACGGAGCTGACTTTCCAGTATCTGTTTTGTAAGATTCACAGTAAGAAATAGCAACAGAACTCACACCACGGTACAGGGAGCAGCACGTGGAAAGCCTGGCATCTCTCTCCTTCCCTCCCGTCTCCTGCAGCACTATCCACCTGAAACCTAACTCGGGTGCAGAGTGCACTATGGAGACCACACTCTCCACAGGTAACAAAGGGCAGGCAGGTTTATTGCTTTCAAATACTATTCCATGCAAAGCAGCATCTCCTCTTCCACTAACAGGGGACAGAAGCCCCAACACAACAGGGAGCCAGTATCAAGGGCATCAGAACAACGTACTCAATGTGTGCAAAGTAACTCACTCACCCCTTTAATTTCCAAACAAAGCTAGACAGCGTAGGCTAAGCAGGTGGTCAGTTAGTTTGTTACAATCATATTAAAAAAACTCTCAAGACCACTAACTTGAGAAGAAGCAGAGATTTAGCAGATGATGGATTTCAAGACATAAAGAACCAGTTTGTAGAAAAATGTGAGTGGTGTTTCAAAACTTTCTTACGTTGAAGCCATACTGGCAGCAAGGTCAGCTATGAAGTGGGCTGCATGGCTTTATTTAACTTTAGGGTCTGCCAATTATAAATAAGTACTGTTTGTAAAGGAGAAGATAAACCCTTCACGACAGCTCCCGAAGGCCATATGAGTAGCACCCACTACAAATTCCTAATTGCTACCTGTTCAGAAAAATTCACCATTTTCAGCCGTTAAATCTCAGTTTTGAGAAATGTGAGAGAAGCTTAACAAATAGCACAGAAGTTTAGCTTAGCCATTTAAGCAGTATGAGAAATAAAACATAAATATTTCAACTGCAGCCACGTGGAAATCTAGCAGAGTTTAAGGAACCCTCCCTCCCTTGCTCAGCGAAATGTAGGAACAGCTCAAGCTGCTGATAACGAACCACACTGAGGTTACTCACCTGGTACGTGTTGTAATAGCAGATGATACTTTTGTTTTTAGAGAGTCCTAGTTTACTGCCCTGATCTGTGGCAAGGGCAAAGGTGGACAGAAAGCCAGGTCGCAGCGCGTGTTCTGGAGCGTTATCATTGGCAACTGGAACAAACCAAGAAAATTCTTATTTTCACACGGCGTCTCTGACTGCACCACAACTGCTGACCCACAGCAGGCCTGCTGCTGGGAGCACGCCATGCCTCCTACACACTGCTGCAAGGAGCACGGGACCACCTTTGGGAGCAGTGAGCCATTTCACATCCTGCCTGTGATGGATGCCTGTCACAGCAGCATCCTCCCTGGCACACCTTGGAGCTGTCCTGGAACTGCCCTTTCCCTCACCACTGCTGTCACTGGCTGTCTGCACCAGCTCCAGCTTCTGAGCTCATGACAGCCACACAGGCACTTGAGAGAAAACAAGTGAAGATGTGC